GGGGACTCGCCTGCCCCCGGCAGTTGTGGCTCCTGGGAGATGTTTGGTGGGAGGGATCAGCCGTACTGACGTGCCCTTCTGATCCCCTAGACGGGTGGGCCGAGCGCTGGATCGAATCCAAACACAAGTCAGATTTCGGCAAATTCATCCTCAGTTCCGGCAAGTTTTACGGTGACCAGGAGAAAGATAAAGGTAAGAGCCTGGGGCTGGGTGCTCAGATCCAGCAGGACTTCCTGGAGGAAGCCGTAATCACCCACCACACAGCTTGGGTATCCCAAGGAGCAGGGGAGGCGGAAGAACGGGGGAGTCCTGGGTATCTCCGATCCTTAGGGTTCTGGGGGGTTGGGGCCGAGCCCTGAGCTCCCTGCCGTCTTCTGCTAGGGCTGCAGACCAGCCAGGATGCCCGCTTTTACGCCCTGTCGGCCAGATTTGAGCCTTTCAGCAACAAGGGCCAGACGCTGGTGGTGCAGTTCACAGTGAAACACGAGCAGAACATCGACTGTGGGGGCGGCTATGTGAAGCTCTTTCCAGATAGTTTGGACCAGACCGACATGCATGGAGACTCAGAATACAACATCATGTTTGGTGAGGGGCCCTGCCCTGGCGCTGACCTCTGATTAGTTAGAGAGACACTGAGACCCTATGAGTTCCTTGTAGCTGTGAAAGGTGGTCTTGAGAGCACGGAAAATACATAAATAGTCAAGCTTTTCTTTGGAGGGGAAGTCGAGGGGGTGGTCACTGTTAGCAGCCATTTATTGCATTGTTAAAGTTGGTGTAAGACTGTCTGCTAGGGAGATCTTGTGTAGGTATTTCCCGGTTATACAACTGAGGATATTGAGTTCCGGAGCACTGGTTTGTTTTTTCAGGCTCCACTAACAGCCCCTTAGAGACACTCAAGGTGTGAATCCTGTTTTTGAAGCCCCTACAGACCTGAGTTTAAGAACCAAGTCTTCCTCTTGTAAAGAGGGTGGGGGCGCTCACAGTGGGGGGCAACCTCCAGCTTTAACTGGACCTTCCTCTCCCCTAGGCCCGGACATCTGTGGTCCTGGCACCAAGAAGGTTCATGTCATCTTCAACTACAAGGGCAAGAACGTGCTGATCAACAAGGACATCCGTTGCAAGGTGAGCCTGGGGGTGGTGACAAAGGGCTGCCAGGGGAGGCTCAGAGGCCAGCCTGGTGGGCGGGGCCACTCACCTCCTGCCCTCTTCAGGACGATGAGTTCACACACCTGTACACGCTGATTGTGCGTCCGGATAACACCTATGAGGTGAAGATTGACAACAGCCAGGTGGAGTCGGGCTCCTTGGAGGATGATTGGGACTTCCTGCCTCCCAAGAAGATCAAGGATCCCAATGCTGCAAAGCCCGAAGACTGGGACGAGCGGGCCAAGATCGACGACCCCACAGACTCCAAGCCTGAGGTTGGTGCTTAGGCAGGGGCCCCTCACCCTGGAGGGTGTGGAGGAGAGCTGGGCTGACTCGGACCTTCTCGTGTACCCTCAGGATTGGGACAAGCCTGAGCACATCCCCGACCCCGATGCTAAGAAGCCCGAGGACTGGGACGAAGAGATGGACGGAGAGTGGGAACCACCGGTGATTCAGAACCCAGAGTACAAGGTGAGCCTGGGGCTCTGAGCAGGGCGGGGTCGCCCGGGGGTGGGGGGAGCGTGCTGATCTCCACTCACCCTCTGGTTCCCATCTCCCTCTGCAGGGTGAGTGGAAGCCCCGGCAGATCGACAACCCCGATTACAAGGGCACGTGGATCCACCCAGAGATCGACAACCCCGAGTACTCCCCAGATGGCAACATCTACGCCTATGAAAACTTCGCCGTGCTGGGCCTGGATCTCTGGCAGGTGAGGCCCAAAGGGAAGAGCAGGATTCAGGAGACCTCAAGTGTTCAGGGTCACCCAGGAGGAAAGGGACAGGGATAGCATTGAACCCCAGGCAGGTCTGACCCCAAAGTGGTGCTTTTTTTTGAAGAATTTCTTGCTCTGTCTCTGTGGAGTTCTTATGGCACCCACTTTGAGTTTCTATTTATACGCCAGGTACTTCCCCTAGTACCTTTATGCAAACCAACTCATTAACTGCCCCCAGCAACCTAGAAAGTGGTTAGATAATTAGCTTCCCAGGAACTACAGGTTGGTTTCTTATTTACGGATACACTTTCTGTGCCTAGAAGGGTGCTGGCACATAGTAGGAACTGGAGCAATACCTGAATAAGGCTGAGGCCCCATCTCACAGAGGCAGAAACTGAGGTGCAGAGAAGTCATCAGCCCCAGGTCGTATAGGCAGGAGATGGCAGACCAGGGGTTTGAACCCAGGCAATCTGTTTCTTAGCCGCAAAGTTAGATGGCAGCATTGTGGAGTGGTTATGGGAACGTGGCCAAGGCCAGGGCCATCGAGTGCCCCCTCTGACCACCCATCCCTCCATCCCCCTTTTCCCACAGGTCAAGTCTGGCACCATCTTTGACAACTTCCTCATCACCAACGACGAGGCGTACGCCGAGGAGTTCGGCAACGAGACGTGGGGTGTCACAAAGGTGGGACCAGCGTCTGGGCCTAGGCCTGGGGGTGGGCAGGGCTGGCAGGCGGGGGCCAGGCCCTGAGTGTGTGGTCTGCATGCAGGCGGCGGAAAAGCAGATGAAGGACAAGCAGGACGAGGAGCAGAGGCTAAAGGAGGAGGAGGAAGACAAGAAGCGCAAGGAGGAGGAGGAGGCCGACAAGGACGACGAGGACGACAAGGAGGAGGACGAGGAGGATGAGGAGGACGAGGAGGAAGATGCCGCTGGCCAGGCCAAGGATGAGCTGTAGGGGCCGCGCTGCCGCCGCTGCCAGGGCTGGACTGAGGCCTGAGCGCTCCTGCCACAGAGCCGGCCGCGCCAAATAATGTCTCTATGAGACTGGAGAACTTTGATTTTTTTTTCCAGGCGGGTTCCGATTTGGGGTGGATTTTGGTTTTGTTCCTTCCCCTCCCTTTTTTTTTTTTTCTTTTGTACTGGTGTTGTGTATCTGATTCTCCTTCAGGCCTCACCTGGGGGCTTGCATCTTTCTTGATTAACACCTTTATCTTCCTCTGTCTTCTTCCATCCCCAGATCCCTTAGTTCCCCTCGAATTTGGGGGCAGAGGGGTGTGGAGGAGAAGCCCCAGGCGTGAGATTCCATCTCTCTCTGTCCTGGATCCCAGAGGGGGCAGGAGAAGAGGTGGCATCGCCAGCCCCCCAGCACTGAGCAAGAATGGGGCTCCTAGGGCCTGAGCTCTGACCCCCCCCTTCCTCCCCTGCCCCCAGGACTGGGCCACTTCTGGGTGGGGCAGCGGGTTCCAGCTCCACTCACTGAGAATGTAAGAACTGCAAACAAAATTTCTATTAAATTAAGTTTTGTGTCTTCCTCCTGTGTCTCCTTCTGGGGGAGGTGACTCTTGAGTAAGACTCACTTTGCAGCCACTAAAGTTGGCTCAAAGTCCCATAAGGTTAGAGGGGCCCTTGTTTACCCCTAAAACCCCAAACCAGTGGGAGAAGTCACTTTATAAGTGCCATTTACAGATATTCCGCGTATTAACTCATTGAGTCCTTGCACCAAACTGATGAGTTGTGGTTCTCCTGCCAGCTCAGTTTCATGAGGAAACTGAGGTCCAGACTCTGAACCACAAGTACTTCTTAGCTGTTAGCAAGACTGTGTAGAGCAACTGTGCAATTTTAAATATTTTCTTAATACAATTGGTAAAAACTACTAATTACTTTTATAATCAAGGAAATGGGCTCAGAGATGGTATATAGCTTGCCCACGATCTTCAGTGGCCAAGTTGGGATCTGACCCTCTGGAAGGGAAAGGTGGCCCGGAGGTAGGGTGCAGAGATGGCTGAGGGGGTGTCTGGTCCCCTGAGGCTGGCCTAGGGTCCACAAAGCTGCGCCTGAAGTCCCCTGGCTGGGTGGGTGGGAGCTGATGTCCCTGTTGCAGGAGAGGTGAGAAGCCCTCCACTGAGCCTGGCCTGTTGGCAGCTTCTGTGCCCAGGGCTTGCAGCGAAGGGAGCAGCAGGACCTGGTTACAGTTGGGCAATGGGGGAGGTGTCAGGTGACGGTCTGGTGCCCAGCTTGGATGGAAACTGAGAGGTTTGGAGGCAGGTAATGGTCAGTGTGGGATATAGGGGAGGAGGGGGGTTTCCACCCACTAACTGGGAAGCAAGCCCGTGCTCGCTGCCACCCCATCCCCCCAGAGCACCATCTTCAGCTTTGGCTACCAACCTTCAGTACCTTCCTCCCGCGCTGGGCCTGCTCCAAGCTCCTCTCCTGGCCTGGGACCCAGCCCCCGGTCCGGGAACCTCTGGGGCTGGTGTGCCCAGGGCAAGTTGCAGAGAGCTCTGTGTGCAACGCCGGGAGGCCTTGAAAATTAACGTCTTCCTTAAGTACTTCGGGGGTCATAGTGAGGATAGCGGGGTGAACAAGGTGGACAGGGAAGGAGCAGCAGAGAGGTGGGAGACCCAGGAACTAGAACGGTAGGTTCATCCCCCGAATCCGGCTTTCCCTCAGCAATGCGTGAGGCCACCAAATGGCCCCATGTCCCCGCTTCCACGGCCAAACGTGTTTTTTAGAATTTCCACTGAGTGCTTGACACGGGTCCCGTAGGGGTGGCCACACCCGAATAAAACTCACTTGGAAGCAGAAAAACATGAACAAATGTTTTATGGAAGAAGTGCAAATATCTAGAGCGAGCATGTGAAGAATTTTGTTCAACGTCATCCACAAAGAACTGAAACTCATAAGAGCGTGAAAGCGGGGACATCGGAGCCATTTTGTAGATGCATGACGTCACCGCTAACGGGCATGGCGTCACTCGCAGGAAGCCACATGATGAGTGTGCGCACTGAGCGAAAAGCCCCCGCCCGTCCCGCGGAGCTGAGTTTAGTCTGCGCATGCCTGGCCCGAGGGCACTCTCGTGCGCATGCCCACGAAGGCCAAGGGGGGCGCGCGCAGGTCACGTGCTCTGGTGGTCGGCGCGCGCACCGCCTGCCCCGGAAGCGGTCGGCGCGCGGCGCGGCTGGGCGCTAAGATGGCGGCGGCGTGAGTTGCATGTTGTGTGAGGATCCCGGGGCCGCCGCGTCGCTCGGGCCCCGCCATGGCCGTCACCATCACGCTCAAAACGTTGCAGCAGCAGACCTTCAAGATCCGCATGGAGCCTGACGAGACGGTGCGAGCCGGGCCGGAGCCCCGGGGCGGGAGCGACGGGTGCCGGGGGTGGGGGGGGGGGGGGGGGGGGGGGGGGGGGGGGGGGGGGGGGGGGGGGGGGGGGGGGGGGCTGGGATCCCGACGGGAGGGGCGAGGAGGTCGGCGCGGGCTGGGCCGGGCCCTGCCCAGCCTCCCACCCTGCCCGAGTCTCCTGGAGCCCCCAGTGGTGCCCAGCCCGGCCCCTGGCGCCTCCACTTGGGCGGTGCTCGGGGCCCGCTCTCCGGGCGAGGCCCCACCCCCGGGGCGTCCGCCAGGACCCGGCTCCAATGTCAGCGTCCTCGCGGGCCGCAGGAGCCGCCGGCTCGGGTTCCCGGCCGGGCTGCGCTCTCCAGACGGGGGCTCTGCGCTCCCAGCTTTGCAGGCGTCTCCTCTGGACGCTGGTGGCCGGATCTGGGAGGAGTGGCCAGGGGGTGTTGGGCGGTGACAGCAGCGACGACGATGATGACAGTAAACCGTCTGAGTTTCAGTGGTCCGTGTTTGCTGGCCGTTTGTTCTTTTTCCAGTCGCAGATCGTTGTGGTGTTGTAATCTTAGTAAATCCATGAAACAGGCTTGTCGTTTGGGGCCTTTGCCTGCCCTTGTCTTACAGACGTGGAAATCTAGGGTTTCAGGAACGTGTTGCCCCAGGCGCAGACAGCGAGTAATGGCAGAGCTGGGATTCAGATCGCGTTCTGCCCGTGGTCAGAACATGACGCTGCCTTCTTAGCTGGAAAGAGACTTAGGATCTCACAAGCATAGCGAGTGTCTAGCTGTGTCCTTGCCACTTTCTGCGCAACTATCTCCTGAGGGAGACATTGAAGTCCGCTTTTGGTAGAAAAGGAAACAGACTCAGATTTTTTTGACCAGCCCAAGCGTTTGATTTTCAGCGAGGTAGCTAACCTCTCTATGCTTCCGTTTTCTCATATTGTAAAATAAAGCTGGTGACATTTATTTCGTACAGTTGTTATGAGGCTTTGAAACTGTGACATGTGTACACTTACAACAGCACCATCACCTTAGGATGCTCTTGGTAAACACTGACCACTGTCAGCAGCGTGGAATGAGGAAACCCAGCTCCCCTTTGTTTTGTTTTACTTTGACTCCTACTTTACACTATCTGAAATGTGTGTTTGTTTTCTTCTTCCCACATTAGTGGCACCTCTGTGAGAGCGGGGACTTGTGTGAAGTTCTGTTCCCAGCTGTGTCCCTCAGTGCCCGAAACAGCCCCTGGCACATGACGGGTGTTCAGTACACACCCTGCTGAGTGGTGGGATGAATGAACAAACTCGCCTCTGGCTTGCTTGACTGAAGTTTAGCCTCTCTGCCCTCAGGGCCTGCAGCCTCTCCCCTCCACACTAGAACGGAAGAGAGTCTCTTGGGGTTTGCAGTGGCTGATTGTACCCATCCCCCCCAGGTGAAAGTGCTAAAGGAAAAGATAGAAGCTGAGAAGGGGCGCGATGCCTTCCCCGTGGCTGGACAGAAGCTCATCTATGCTGGCAAGATCTTGAGTGACGACGTCCCCATCAGGGACTATCGTATCGATGAGAAGAACTTTGTGGTCGTCATGGTGACCAAGGTGGGTGCAGTGTGCTGGTTGGAGGGGTGGGTGGATTAGCTGGGGAGCTGGCAGAGAGCCGTGTGTGCCCGGCAGAGATTAGCCGTGAGCAGGCGGGGCCGGGACGGGGCGGGCTGTGGGGACTAGATAGGGGTACTGATGTCTGCTCTTTTTCTGGGTGTCACAGGCGAAAACGAGTCCAAGCAGCGCAGTGCCCCCAGAGACCTCACCCACTGCTGCCCCGGAGTCCTCCACCACCTTTCCTCCGGCCCCTGCCTCAGGCATGTCCCATCCTCCGCCTGCCCCCAGAGAGGACAAGAGTCCGTCGGAGGAATCAATCCCCGCGACGTCCCCAGAATCCGTGTCAGGGTAAGGCAAGGAACAGCAGTCCCAGCTTGGGCCTGTCCTCCCAGCACATTCCAGCGCCCACATACGTGACCCCACGCACCTGGGGGGAGGGCAGGCCGCCAGGAGCCAGGGTCCGATTTCTCTTTCTTGAATTTGCAGCTCTGTTCCCTCTTCAGGTAGCAGCGGGCGAGAGGAAGACGCGGCCTCCACGCTAGGTGGGTGGGGGGTCCCCCGGGCAGAGCGACTGGGTGCCCCAGCCATTAGCTGGGCCTTGTGTGAGTGCGGGAGGGCCTGGGAGCTGTAATTGCCTCTCCTTGGTAACCCAGGCCTTGCTGCTCCTTCCATAGTGACTGGATCTGAGTATGAGACGATGCTGACGGAGATCATGTCCATGGGCTATGAGCGAGAGCGGGTTGTGGCCGCCCTGAGAGCCAGCTACAACAACCCACACCGAGCCGTGGAGTATCTGCTCACGGTGAGGGGGCTGCTACCTCCCGGGGAGGCCTCCATGGAGTTCATGGGCTCCAGTGCCCTGACACGTGGTCAGGGTGCCCCCAAAAGCCTTTGGGTCGTGGTTCCAGCCAGGAAAGTCTTCCTGCGGGAGCCTGCATGTAAGCAGTGGGGTGGGCCTGGGGAGGCCGGGGCCCAGGCCTCACCTGTCTTGTGCCAGGGCTGAGCATGTAGGAGGGAGGCAGTGGACAGTCTGTGCATTGGAACTAAATAGGATCCCCAACAGGGAATTCCTGGGAGTCCCGAGCCAGAACATGGTTCTGTCCAGGAGAGCCAGGTGTCCGAGCAGCCGACTACAGAAGCAGGTGAGTGGACTAGGGGGTGCGTGTGGGGGAGTGTCTGCTGTCAAGACATCTGACTCCTCCTGCCCCTCGATGCCACGCTCATCGTTGGCTCACCCCTGGGTCTTTGCGTTTGCTTCTGGGTGTCCACTGTGGTGTCTGACCACGCACCTTCCTCTTGCCAGCAGGAGAGAACCCTCTAGAGTTCCTGCGGGACCAGCCCCAGTTCCAGAACATGCGGCAGGTGATTCAGCAGAACCCAGCACTGCTGCCGGCCCTGCTCCAGCAGCTGGGCCAGGAGAACCCTCAGCTTTTGCAGGTGCGGCCCTGGGGGCGGAGCCAGTGCAGGCGCCGTCTCCCCTCCCCTCTGGGTACCACAGCCCCAGAGAGCAAACCTGGCCTGTCATGGGATGTAGGAGTTTCCCTATATTTGGAAATAGCTCCTGCTGCTCCCTGTGGCCTGATGGCCTGCCCAGTCTCGTAACCCTGCCAACCACCCAGGGAGGTGTGAGGGCTGTCATCATTGCCCCCACGGAGGAAGACGCCAGAGGCTTGGAGCAGCCTGGCAGCTGGTGGAGCGTGTGTGTCTCCAGTTTCTTGGCTCGGTGCTCTTCCTTTTGGGTCTTGTGGCTCTGGCTTGGCTTCACATGCAGCTGGGGCTTCATAAATGTCTATGGGGTTGCAGGGTAGCCCCCAGGACCGCTGGGCCCCTGTTGACTCTGGGACCACCGTGCTCAGCAAGGCTCCATCCTGCCCCTGAAGGGTCCTAGGCAGAGGGACGGTATCCCCACTTGTGCCAGGGTCCTCTGGGTCCTCCATGAAGGCCTGCCTCTCCTGGCCTGGTACCTGTTGTCCACTGCTTCTCCTCCCACTTCCCTGGCTCTGGTGCTGGCTCCTCCTGCTCACCCCTCCGGATGTTGGAGGGCCTAGGCTGCGTACCTCTCTGTTCACCATCTGTACTCGGTCCTTCCTGCACGTTGTCTTGGGCCTTCAGTCTGTGGTGCTCCTCAAGTCTGTGTAACCAGCCTGGACCTCTGGATGCCACACTCACCTGTGGCTGACTTTATGCCTTTGTCAAAGTGCTTTCTAGATGTCAAAGACTTCAGAACAGACCCTTCTCCCAGCCTTCCCCATCCCCACGTGGACCGGCCTGGGGTTGGTTGAGCCCCAGGCCCTGGGGGCCGGCTAGGGTTGTCCATCACCTGTCCTGTCTGATCTGCTTCCAGCCCATCTCACTCAGCCCAGCCTTGCAGTCCACCTCCTCTCCCACCCGGTTCCCTGGCAGCTACCACCCAGGCCTCTGCTTCTGCTCAGCCCCAGGGTCCATTCCGCACATGGAGCCAGATTCCTGAAAAAGCACTTTTTTTCCTTGATGTGAAAATTGTGAGACGTACATAAAATTAGAGTTGTATCAGCACCCTTACATATGCGATACCCAGATGAGTTAACCTTTTTGAAAGGTATATGTCTTTCTGTATTTACATTACTATTGTGATGTTCCATTGCACTAGAAAGCACTAGAAGAAAGCGAGTCTGGTCCCTGCCTCCTCTCTGATCTCATCTTCTGCTTCTTCCTTCTTCCCTTCCTTTTTTACTGTGTTTTGCCACAAGGGTCTTGTGTTTCTGGGATTTGCCAAATGCATCCCCACCCCGGGCCTTTGCACTTGCTGTTTGTGCTTCCTGGAGGAAATTCCCTCCCCATCTGGCAGGTCACAGACTGCTCCCTCCTGGCCTGCAGTGTTTTTCCTAGCCCAAGGTCTGCCGTACTGTATGCCAGGCGCAGTATTTATGTTGTAAATAATTGTCCATTTATTTGCATGGGGCCCATCTCCCCACTCTGGAACATCAGCTCCAGCAGGACAGGGCCCATGTCCACTGCTGTGTTGCTGTTTGGCTAGAACAAGCACTCTAAATATGTGCTGGGTGAATTTTGAAAAAGCAAGGGCTGTGATAGGGGCCTGGGAAGGGAGGACAAGGCATGTGGGTCACCATCCCTTCCCGTCTGTCTCCCACAGCAAATCAGCCGGCATCAGGAGCAGTTCATCCAGATGCTAAATGAGCCTCCTGGAGAGCTGGCAGACATCTCCGATGTGGAGGGCGAGGTGGGCGCCATAGGCGAGGAGGCCCCCCAGATGAACTACATCCAGGTGACGCCGCAGGAGAAGGAAGCTATAGAGAGGGTAAGAGGCTTGGCTGTGGGTGGCCCCGCTGGGGGCAGGCCTGGCCCGCTCACGCCTGCCCCTCTCCCTGCAGTTGAAGGCCCTGGGCTTCCCCGAGGGCCTGGTGATCCAGGCCTACTTCGCCTGTGAGAAAAACGAGAACTTGGCTGCTAACTTCCTCCTGAGTCAGAACTTTGATGACGAGTGATGCCGGGAGGCCGGGCTGCCCACTGCCCCCCCACCCCTCAACTCCACGGAAGTTTTATAACAGAAAAAAATATATATATATTCATGTTTATTTAAGAAGTGGAAGAAAAATCAAAAACTTTAAAAAAAACCACCCCAACTTCCCACCCTCCTAAAGTGGCCCCCATTCGCATCTTGGCCTGAGAAGACCCGGGCCAGACAGCTGTCCCCATCCCCCGCCGCAGCCCTGCCTACTTGAAGGAGCTGGCAGGACTGCAGGCGACAGATGGGCCCCTCTTGGCCTCTGTCCCAGCTCCCTGCAGCCAGATGGAGAGGCGGCTGCTTGCTTCCCATCCCCCGAAGAGCCCCCGAGACCTCCCCCGCCCTCTTCCAGGGTGAGGGGAAGCTGGAGCCCCGGACTTGGGTCCTCCATTGGAGTGGCCCAGCCTTCCATCTGGGCGAGCACCCCAAGGCCCCTCCCCACTCTGGCCTTGGCCTCCAGCCGGCATCTCCTCATCTCCTTGGCTGGGAAGGGGGAAGCCTGGGCTGTCCTGCTTGGGGAGGGGGTAACATCAGAGCTGCTCTGGAGGTCCAGCCCCCCCCCCCCCCCAGCCCCAAACAGAACCGTGTCTGATAAAGGTTTTGAAGTGAATAAAGTTTTAAAAGCTAGTCCTGTGGTCTGTGCCTGCTGGGGCTTCCCACTCCTGCTGGTCTGGGTCTGGGGGCTAGTTGGGCCCGGGCAGTGTAGGAATGCTGAGGGGGGCAGAGGGCGCCGTCAGCCTCTGCAGGTTGGGGCTCCCAGTGTCTCCCCCCTCAAAGCTGTCTCGTGTCCAGGCGGTGGGCCCCCGCTCAGACTTGGAAGGGCTGCCTCCCCCCCCCAATCACCGCAGTCTGTTTTGGCTACACTTCTCCCCTGGTAATTGGCTAATTACTGGAGATTAATGTTGGTAAACAGAAGCCTTCTTCTCCTCTGCCAGCTGCTCCTCCATTATTTCCCCCTTTGCATCCCCCTTTCTCTCCCCCTGAAGTCCCAGTCAGTCGGCACAGCCGCCAGTCCCTGAGTGAGAGCCGGCGCAGGAGTCCCCAGCCCCAGGTGTTGGGGAAGGAACTGGGGCCCGGGAGGGGCGCAGCGGGAGGACGCAGAGGCTCAGGGCTGGCGCGGGCAGGCAGCAGCTTTATTGGGAAGGGACACAGCTCAGGAGCTGGGGGCCGCAGAGGCGGCTGGGTCCTGGGCAGCGGCGGCAGCCATCGCGGCTGCTCGGGCCTCCTTCTTCTGTCTTTGTCTTTCCTCCTTGAGGCGCTTGCGCTGCTGCTTCTCCATGTCCTGCAGCAGCTCCTGGAAGCGGGCGCTCCGCGGGTCCACATGGTAGCCCAGGCGCTCCTGGGCCTCCGCCTGCAACCGGGCCCGCCGCTCCTTGTCCGCCCGCTCTTTCTCCCTGCGCTCCTGTTGCTGCCGCCGCCAGCTCTCAATCATCTGTGGCATCTGGGCCATGCGCTCTGCGATGAGCTGCTCCCTGCAGGGGACGTGGGTGGACGGTGAGGGCAGGACCCCCAGCCACAGCAGAGCCCATCTGCCCTCAGCCTGCCTCTCCCCGCTCCCTCCCCAGTGAGTGTCAGGAAGAGTCCTGACAAGTGAAGACACAGGCAGGAGAGAGGAACTCACCTGTGCGTGACTTTGCGCCCAAGACAGCGCCGCCGGGCCCCAGGACCCCGGGAGCAACCCCCAGTCCACCCAGCATCTCACAGCGGCCAGTGAGCCATCCACGTGCCACCCACCATGCTGGGCCGCGCCCACAGCTCGCTTCTCCAGCCCAGACATCGCTGAGCAGCTGCTGTATGCCAGGCCCAGTGCTAGGCACAAGAGCGAAGGCAGGAAGTGGGTGGGACCTGTCCCGCCCATCCTCCGAGTGAGCAGGTGCAGTCCCGGCTGCATCTGAAGGATTAGAGCAGTGACGCTGGAAGACCTAAAGCCCCAGGACAGGGCTTCCCAGCAGCGACCCGGCAGAGCCAGGCAAGACCCGGGTCACAGCGCAGCTCAGCGGTTCACTGCCTCGGTGACTCTGGCCGAGTGACTCCACCTTGGGCCTCAGTTTCCTCATCTCTACTGTGGGATGAACTCTCCTCCTCACTTTAAACAGGAGACACACTTGGCCTGCTCCTCCCTCCAGGAAGTGCCACCATTCAGATGCCCCTGGTCTTGCCAGTCTTCCTTCAAGTCTAATCCTTCAGCCTGGCCTCCTGGTCTGCTTTCGACCCTTGATTCCAGGCTGCATCCCCTCCCACTCTGACGTCCTGGCTGTTCCTTAAGGCATGTTCCTATCTCAGGGCCTTCGCACCAGCTGTTCCCTCTGCCGAGAACACTCTTTCTGAGATCCCCCCAGGACTATGTCTGGTCATTCAGGTCTCTGCTTAAACATCAAGCCCTCAGAGAGGCCCGAGGCCTCCCAAACGAAAGCCGCGCTCCAGCACGCTCTCGTACCCCAGTTTTACTTTCCTAACGGGTCTGTTTCGTCCCCCGCCTTGCGCGCTGCGGGGCTCCGCGGGGACAGGGCGGGGAGGGCCGCCGCGCACGCACCTGGCCTGCCGCTGCCGCTCCTCGGCCTGCTGCCGCGCCCGCAGCGCCTCCTGCATGGCCTCCAGGCTCGGGCACCACTCGCGCTCCTCCGCCTCCAGCTCGCGCAGCCGCTCCCGGGACGGCCACAGCGCCCCGGCCGCCACCCCGGAGGCGGCGCCGTGCCGCGCGAACTGCTTGGCCGCGTAGCGCGGGCTCAGCTGCCAGCGCGGGGTCAGCGGGTCGTCCGGGTCCGGCCACCAGGGCCCCGGCGAGCGGCGCGGGGGCGGCGGCGCCCGGTAGCCCCGCGGGCCGGGGCCCAGGGTCGCCGCCCGCCCGAGCAGGCAGCGCGCCTGCCGCATGGGCGCCGCCATCTTTGCCGTGCGGGGTCCTCGCGGGCCGGCGGGGTGGCCACGGCGCTGCCTGCGCGCGGTCGCGGGCTTCTACGCATCGTGGGGCGTAAATCAATGTTATCTGTGAAAGGCGTCTTTAAAATGAACATTTGTATATTTAAAACAGCATTTAATTTTTATTTTAAAATTTAGATGTTTAAAATTTATTTTAAACAATCATTTAAATATTTATTTAAAATATTTAAATATTCTTTCAATTTGAAGTCCAGTCTACATATTACTTTATTTTTTACTTTAAATATTTAAAATCGATTTAAAATGTTCGGTGAAATACTTACATGTTATTTTAAACACATTTAAATTTGCTCATAACGTGAACTCTATTTTATGCTTTTTAATTTGATTTTTAATATCTTTGTTAACATTTTTATTTTAAATAATTATATAAAACCTGACCTGGATATTTATTTTAAATATTAAAATTTCTACTTAAGGGGGCCGGCCCCGTGGCCGAGTGGTTAAGTTCTCGCGCTCCGCTGCAGGAGGCCCAGTGTTTCGTTGGTTTGAATCCTGGGCACAGACATGGCACTGCTCATCAAACCACGCTGAGGCAGCATCCCACATGCCACAACTAGAAGGACCCACAAGGAAGAACATACAACTATGTACCAGGGGGCTTTGGGGAGAAAAAGGAAAAAAAAAATAAAATCTTTAAAAAAAAAATTTCTACTTAAAACATTTACTTAAAGTTGTATGTAAGTATTTAAGATATTTATGTAGATTTTATTTTAAGTTTCATTGTAAATATTTAGTTACTTTATACCTTTGAACTTAATTTTTTTCTGTTTTAAGATGTTTGGTCTTGGTGCAGAAATTAAACACTATTTTAGAAAAAAGATTTCAGCCTTAAAAGGGAAGGAAATTCCAACACAGGCTACAACGTGGGTGAATCTGGAAGACATTATGCTGAATAAAATCAGCCAGTCACAAAAGGACATACATTGTTTGATTCCACTTATATGAAACCCCTGGAGGAGTCAAACTCTTAGCAACAGAAAGCAGAATGGTGGCTGGCAGGGGCTCAGGACACGCAGAATGGGAGTTGTGGCCTAATGGGGACAGAGTTTCTGGGGTGATGACAAAGTTCTGGAGGTGGACGGTGGTGATGGTTGCACAACATTGTGAATGTGCTTAATGCCACCGAACTGGACACTTAAAAATAGTTAAAGTGGGAAACTTTGTTATGCATATTTTGTCACACACACATAGAGTTGCAGTTTGCGCAGTGAGCCTGGAAGCCTGGACGAGCATGTTCGTGTCCCGCAGCACCGTGTATATTCTATAGGTCAGTCCCAAGCGGGCAACAGCCCCACCCGGGCCCTTCCGCAGGAGAATGGAGGCCTAAATTTTGATGTTTTGGTCAACAGGATGCTGCACAGGAGCGTGAGAGCAGAAATGACAGTAACGTGGGTGGCTCTCACAGACGTCACAGGCAACAAAGGAAGCAGGGCCGAGTGACTCATTTCATAAAGAGTGTTTCTGTTGTGTGAAGTTTACACAGTGGTCCTTTTATGTCACGTGGAAAAGCCCTGGTGTCATGGATGTACACCTTATGGGGTAAATGATGAAACAAAAAAACAAGGCAGTGATCATTCTGGAAGTCAGCATGGGACGCCTCTAGTGGCTGAGGGGCCACATGGCGGGGAGGGGGGTTCCCTTGTAACAGGTCATTGGGTGGGGCATTCCTGTCTGTTTCCTTTTCTCCAAGTGGACAGTATTCAATGTTATTTTTTTTTATTTTACTTTATTTATTTTTATTTATTTCTTATTTATTGCTGAGGAAGATTGTTGCTGAGCTAACGTCTGTGCCCCACTTCCTCCATTTCTCCATTTTGTACATGGGACGCCACCACAGCATGGCTGGACAAGCGGTGCGTAGGTCTGCTCCTGGGATCTGAACCCGAAAACCCTTGGCTGCTGAAGCGGAGCCCGTGAACTTAACCGCTACGCCACTGGGCTGGCAATATTGTTTCTTGATATAGGCTACAGTGATGCTGAGGTTGTAATTATTATTTAAGCGATATATAACTGTATATGTGTGTTGCACACTTTTCTGTAGAGTTTTGACATTTCACAATTTAAAACATGAAAATGCAAACAATAGGGGCCGGCCTGGTGGCAGAGTGATTAAGTTCACACATTCCGCTTCAGTGGCCCGGGGTTCACAGGTGGATCCTGGGTGCGGACCTAGCACCCTTGTCAAGCCACACCATGGCGGCATCCCACATAAAATAGAGGAAGGCTGGCACAGATGTTAGCTCAGGGCCAGTCTTCCTCACACACACACAAAATACAAACAATGAAAAGGATTACGGTGAGCAGTCTTACTCCCACCTGTCTCCCATGCTCCCCTTCCCTGTCTGAGCCCCTCTCCCTGCTTGTGTTAGTTTCTTATGTATCCTAGAGTGGCTTTATACAGTCCTTTTTTTTTTTTTTTTTGATGAGAAAGATTTGCCC